ACAGAGAAACCAGACACAAAAGGGCCAGGGATTTAGCTCAGTGTTTCTGCTGCCTGCCTCAAAAGTGCAAGGTCCCGCGTTCAGTCCCCAATACCCCGCGCAAAAAAAAGAAAGAAACCACACTTTTCCTAGGACTTTGGTCACAAAAAGGGAAAGTGCTAAAGGAGTGTCCAGGTGGTCTGAGGTGGGTTGTGTCAGCCTGAGAAGGAGGAGGGCAAGGCGCCCACGGAGCAGGCCTGGCACACTGAACCTGCCTGTGGCTGCCGGATTGCCACCTTAGACCTCAGGGAAGCATGTGCTCGGGGGCTAAGGAGAGCCAGCTCCTCTGCAGGAGAAAGTGGGAGAGATCTGGTTGCCTGTTAAAGTGCAAATGGCCTGAGGAGCTGGGCAGGAGATGGGAGGACTGGACGGAGCTGCAAGACCAGGTCTTCAACCCATGAGCCTTGCAGGACACTTACCCAAACCAGAGGAGGCACCTCCTGTTCGGCAGTGAATGTTGTTGTTGTTGTGAGAACCAGCACGAAGCAACATTCACACAGTTGGGCACAAAGTACACAGCAGGGAGCTGGCAGTATTGAGGAAGGTAGGCAAAAAACGAGGGACAAATATAGTATGGAAATTAAGGACAGGACTGGGGATGTAGCTCAGTGGTGCCACTGCCTGCCTCACAAGTGCAAGGTCCTGAGTTTGATCCCTGGTACCAAAAAAAATTAAGGATAAAAGCTATGAACGATCAGAACAGAGTGCAGACAAAATAAACCGGTTGTGGTGAGGAGGAGGATCCTTTAGAATGGGCAGTTAAGTCTTTAGCAGAAGAAGAAAGTCTGAGTCAGAGGTAAGAAACATACCACTTGCCTCCCTTACATCAGCCACCCCATCTCAGACTTCAAGCTCCTAGCAAGGTAGGAAAGGTGGAAGTCAGAGACCTTGAATTTCAAGAGAAAGGAGGGATACCACAGCACATTTTGCTTCAATCCCAAAGGATGGGGATCTCAGCTGACTACAGGTTCTTGCAGGTCTAGCAGTGCTGCTCAGTGGCAGAGTGTTTCATGCGCAAAGCTCTGGGTTCAATCCTTAGTGCCCCCACAGCGCATCTGTCTCTCCCCTCCCATCTCCCTCTCTCTGGTCTCTTAAAACTATATAATCACAAGTAGGTTTTATTGGCCTCCATTTTACAGAATAGAAAACTGAGGTTCAGTGAGGTTCAGTAAACTTCTCAGGTTCAGAAATCCAAAAAGGTCAGATTTTGGGTTGGAATCCATATCTTAAACTCAAGAGATCATGTACAGTATAACCAAAAGCTAGCGGGCAGAACTACCAATCTTTGCACAGGCTAATTCCATCATTCATCCAGTAAAAGTGTAATGAAAGAAAAAAATTTAGTTGAACACTTATGATGTGCTCGGCACTAAAGATACAGCAGTGCACAGAATCTTTGCTCCTAGAGAGCAAAAGCAGGTGCTCAGAACTGAGCTAAGCTAAGAAATACACCTGCGGAGGAGTATAAACATATGTGCCTCATCCACAACGAAGGGACAGGCAGTTGTCCTTTTGTGATTTCTTCCTCGATTTGAATTTACTGGAAAAAAAATATGTAAAAGGAAAGGGATCTTCTCAAGTGACTTCCTCTCCTGAGCTATCATTCCTCCAAGGAGGGTGACTCGGGGCCCCAAATCCTTTGCTTTCAGTATTTGATCCCATTTGAGACTCAATTCCTCTTGAGGTTTTGCTGCTGCCTGAGCACCTGCTTAGAAGCTGACCACCCTCTCTTTCCTTCCTCTCTGCAGGGCTCTGTGCTAAACTATGGGCTGAGTCAAGGCTCACCGTCACCACCAGACTCCACCAGCCCACATCTTCTCCCACCAACTCCTCAAGAGAAAGGCACATTTCTTCACGCCCTCCAACTAAACAAGTTCTTCCAACTTTCCTGGCAGAGGAACATTTGTGGAAGGAGCAAGAGCTGACTTGCAGAGTCCTCTCTTTGAAGGCTAGGATAAACACTGTTGCAGGCGCAGTGAAAGAGTTGGTGAAATCACAGAACCACAGCTGACTCTGGGGGCTGGGAAAGGAGTGTTCTATCCTCTTAGCTTCCTGTCTTCCATATGAGTGTAGCAGACAGCCTTTTCCTCATGCAGAACTGAACTGCTTTGCCTGGCTGCTATTAGGGGAGACGGAAGATTTAATCAGATGATGACCTTCAAGACGGAGAAAGAGGATAGTTATTTTTCACTTCCTTTAGGAACAAAATTTCATTTTAAAATGCGTGATGCTTAGACACTTTATCCTTATCCCTGGTGCCACATTGTCTCTGCATCAGAACAGATGATCACCCAGATGACTCTATCGGGGTCTTTCTCTCCTGCTCCGTGGTCTCCCAGTGAGATCCTAAGCACCTCCACGTGTTATGTTGCTGGGACGCTAGGAGTCACTGATATGCAGAGTTGCAGCCTGGCATGACAGTCTGTTGACAGATACTTTTCAGATGTGGAAAAAAGTGCTGTTTTGTTTGTGCTTTGAGGCTGAGTGTGCTACTCAGCTGTGACCCTCAGGTAATCAAGGAATTTCTATCAACAGACTGTTCACATATCCAGAACAGGGCAGAGACCAGACGTGGCAGAGATCTGGAAATATCTTATCTATGGGAAAAGATGAAAAACATCCTGGGTGGAATACCACAAAATCGAGAGGCCTCTTCCTGAGCCACCATTATTTTTTTTTAAGTAAAGCCTATTAATACACAGTCTTATCAGAGAGATTTATGATCAGTTGAAGCCAAGTTGAGCTCAAGTTGTTGGGGTGGTGTAGAGTTAGCCTATGGTGCATCGGCGGATCATCTCAGTGTTTTGTGGAACAGTGATTTTGAGAGGCGACAGGATTAAAGAAAAACCTTTGAAGACATCAAATAGGAAACAGATTCTACAGAGTGCTCAGCAACACAGGTGTTCGGTAATATTTTAAACTATTAAACAAACAGTGCACTTACACTCTGAGGAGCACTATGCTCAGTGTTTTCTGACTATAGACTTTTTCCTTTTTCCTCCTGCTTTGAGGCTGTGTGCACTTTAGCTATGATTTCGGATGGATCAAGAAATGCTAAGCAGGGGTCAGACTGCTCAGTGACAGAGCACATGCTTAGCATGCACAAAGCCTTGGGTTCAATCCCCAGCAATGCTGGCATGCATACACAACCAGCACCTGCTTCTGGCATGTGACTCAATTAACCGGGGCTGTGTTTGGGCAGGAGAGCCCCCTGTCCACCCTCCAGCAGCCTGCTTGTCCCTCGCCACTCTGCTAGTCTCCCTTGATGACATGTGTACTCTCTTGTCTTGCTGCTGTTAGCCTCGCCCAGATAAAACTGCTAACCTTTGTTACTGTTTTGATTTTTATTTCTAAAGTAAATGAGAATTTCATGTAATCCAACCTAATAACTGCCCACATTTTAAAAAGAGGAAATGAATGATTGGAGTGGTTAAGTAACTTGTCCTGACGGACAAGCAGCCCATAATAGGGACTGGATTCAAAAATTTGTCTCCTTGTGAACTTCTCAGCATAGTGCTTTCAACCAAATATTAAGAACATGGGCCTCGGACTCAGCTGTCTTGGTTTGAGATTCAGTCCATCCAGTTAGCAGCTCTGTGACTGAAGTATAAAGGTGGAGGTAACAATCAGGACGGTATAGTGTTATATTTGTAGGACTGGCCCGAGGACTGAATGGAGAACTCCGAGTAAAGTTTAGGGTAATGACTGACACAGAGTAAGCCCTTCACAAACGTCAAGTTTTATAATCTCCAGGTTTCTTTTAATACGTGTGTGTGTGTGTGTGTGTGTGTGTGTGTGTGTGTGTGTGTAGGGAAGCCCTCGCTATTTGTAGGCACGGGACAGGCATGTGGGTCTCAGACGGGACTGTCCCACTACTTCCCTTGGGGCTGGAGCTGAGTGAGACTCCAGGCGCCATTGCTCCATTTTTGTCTTTTCTTTTGTGAGAGCTGTCACTTCTGTGACTGACCTTCCCCGACGTCTGCCCAAGCTGGCCAAGCGGTCTCACGCAGTTCTGGTAAACACACTGAAGTGAACAGGACAGAAGTTATCTTATGCTTCTGTTTGATTCTTTTTTTTTGGTACTGGAGGGGGTTGAACTCGGGTCCTTGTGCTTGCGAGGCAGGCGGCATGTCTGATTCTAAACTTAGTGAGTCTAACCTAGCTCGAGATAACCATAGGACCGTGTGTTTGTGCGACAGTTTGTAACAATACGGCTGCGTGCCACAAAACTTATCATGTGAACACTTCTGAGAAACTAATAAAAATATTTCTAAGAAATGTATTTGTGTCTTTTTACCCCCACAGAACTGCACACGTTATCTGTCGGCCAGCATGAGATCGGCACACGTTGTCTGCACCTAACCCCACGGCACAGGCCGAGGCCGGGCTTCCCCA